TAGATTTGTGCACAAAGATTAATACACATTTACTTTCTATAATTTTTAGATAAAAAGATAATTATTTCTACACCTAATCATATTTTAACCAATAAAAAATAAATTTAAAAATAAATTCATTGAACATATAGAGTTAATAAATTTCACATTAAATTTCTAAAATGATATTTATTCTGAAACAACAAAATTATTTACTACGACAATTAAAATGAAACATATATAGTACATTAATATAATGAATTAAAAATGAACATTATTCAAAATTTTGCATTGGAAACACCTAACAACACTTTTTACAAAATAAAAACAATTTCTTTAAATTTTTATAAGAAAGGGAGAGTATATTGTAATTTGATGTTCCACTGCTTTATCATCTGACACAGCCATTGATTAATTTTTTTCTTTTTTGATAAATTTTAGTAGAGGTTTTGCGAACCACTTGAACATTTTCTGGTTTAATGACATGAAATTTCATTTAGCTATATGTTACGATACATTTTTTCTGTCAACGTTTATGTTTTTTCTTTTGACAAAATTCTGTCAACGTATATGTTACGATATTATAGTGTTACTTTTAGAGTGGTGCTATTATAGAATGTAAGAGAGTCAACGATTATTACAAAATTAGAGTCAAGATTATTTGTCTTATCCTAATTACCGCGTTTTCTATGTCGGCCATCGAGTTTGTTTTTTTTGTACCACAAAAAAAAACTTTACTAAAATAAATGTAGAAGTTGTAAGCAAAATGACTATGGTCTATTTTATTTAGGCTACGACTTTTATATGAGATCCAGATTTGATCCAAAATCTACTCCAAAATTAGGATATTTGGGGTGTCTAAATCCAAATCCGGATAGTAAAATTTCAGATCTGTGTACACTGAATCTAGATCCGAATATTTTAATTTTTTTTTTTTGGTGGGCAAACGGGAGGAAAACCTCCCTATATTATTAAGAAAAACCAAAAAGTTACGACATCATCACATCCGCCTCATGCAACAAAATTACATCGGGTGGAACAGAATCAAAGATATGAATTCCTAACGGTAGGGTAAAAGCATAGTTGGCTAACCCATCGGCGAGACAGTTAGCTTCCCTATACACGTGATTAACTCGGACAGTCCAGTCCTTTGAAAGTAAGCCGTGGCACATACGTACCAGGAACGACAGTGGGTGAGTCTCCTCAATTCCTGTCTTGAGAAATCCAACAACAACTTGAGAATCAACCTCGAGCTCCAGCCTCGCGATCCCCTTCTCCCATGCCAACACCAATCCATAATAAACGCCCCATAGTTCCGCTAGAGGAGCAGTGCATCGGCCAATATTCAGGGCAAAGCCTCCGCACCACTCGCCAAAACGGTTTCTCAATACACCACCTGCAGTAGCCTCACCAGGATTACCATGTGACGCCCCATCGGTGTTGAGTTTGACCCATTCTTCTATTGGAGCCTTCCACTTCTCTCTTCTTCCTTCACTACGCCTAGAGCTTCTCCGGCTTCCTAGACCATAATTCGCCTTAAACACTTCTGATGCTTTCTCCTTAATGAACTTCACTCGATCACGACACAGCCTGGTGTCTCCAAAAACATTTCCACACCTCCATTTCCATGCCCACCATACTGTTATCGCAAAAAAGGTTGACCATGGTGTTCCTCCTACCTCTTTGTCATCGCCCAAATTAAGGTAGAACCATTGAAGCAGAGATTGACTAAAGAAAATCGTTCTCTTTCCCAATGGAACCACACGATTCCATATACCCTCCATAGCTGGACAGTCACGTAGGACATGTAATACCGTCTCAGAAGCTCCTCGACAGACCTCACACATATCAGAAGTTCCAAAATGTCTTCTGTATCTCTCGTAGTTTGTCATGATAACCTGCTGTCCAGCCATCCATAAAAAACATCTCACTCTCTCTGGGGCAACAACTGTCCAGATACGCTTATAGAAGTGCTCCATCGTAGGTCTTGGCGAGTCATCAGAAATTAGAAGCTTGTATGCAGATTTTACTGAAAAACATCCATTCTTAGTTCCTCTCCAGGCCAATCTATCTTGCGCTCCCGTTATAAGATCAGGAACTACTGCAAGGAGTTCAAGTCTCTTATCTTCAGGTAGGTAAGGAGCGATGTTCTGTAGGTCCCAGCCACTCCCCTCTATCCACAAGTCCTTGGCCAATTGGTGTTCGAACTCATGTGGTAACGGAAGAGTTATAGCCCGCGAAAGAGGATCCTCCGATAGCCAAGTATCAGTCCAGAACTTGATCTGTCTTCCTGACCCGAGTACCCATCTCTGACCTCTTACTACTACCTCTCTCAGGCCGAGACCCACGCTTCTCCAAGTAGAAGACCAAGTTCCCTTAGCAAGCATCCATCCCGTGTCCCTGATATCTTTAACTTGATACTTTTTCCTCACCACCTGAGCCCATAAACTCTGCGTGTCGTGTAAAACTCGCCATCCAACTTTAGCGATCAGAGCTTTGTTCATTTCTTTGGAACGACGGATTCCTAGACCTCCTTCGCTTTTCGGTTGACAGACTTTGTCCCAAGCCACAAGAGAAAGTTTACGTCGATCAGAGGAGCTTCCCCACAGGAAGTCACGCGCAAGTCTATCCAGCCTGTCCAGAGTACCCTGCGGGAGCATGATGGTGCTCATGGTGTGTACCGGAATCGAAGAGATCACTGATTTAGTAAGCGTCAGCCGTCCCGCGAAGCTCAGAGTGCGACTTTTCCAGCCAGTTAAACGAGATGAGACTCTCTCCAGGACCTCTCCAAAGGTGTCCTTATTGATCCGCTTTTGTAAAACCGGCATGCCAAGGTATTTGCCGAGATCCGATGTTGATTGAATGCCACTCTCACTACTGATCATTCCTCCCAAATCTCGAGAAACATTTGATGAGAAGAATATTTTAGACTTCTCTAGATTAACTTTCTGGCCAGAAGCAACACAAAAACTCTCTAGAACACCTCTGATGGCTCGTATCTGACTAACTGAAGCCTCCGCAAAAAGAATAAGATCATCTGCGAACAAAATATGAGATAACCTCGGTCCACCTCGTGATAATTGTATAGGCTTCCACACATTATCTATCACAGCTTTATCAATGAGGTGGCAGAGCCGCTCCATACACAGAACAAAAAGATATGGTGACAGAGGGTCTCCCTGCCGTAAACCCCTCAGCGGTTTGAAGCTATCGGTCATCTCCCCATTCCACAACAGGCTCATCGATGGTCCTGTGACACATTGCATAATCCACCCTACACAAACATCAGGGAACCCGGCCGCATGAAGCGTGTCTTCCAAAAAATCCCACCGTATCCTGTCGAAAGCCTTCTCAAGATCAAGCTTTAGCAGCATCCAACCCTTTCTGCCCTTTTTCCGACGCATGGAATGTACTGCTTCTTGGACTACCACTATGTTGTCGGTTGTGAGTCGACCAGGGAGGGAACTTGCTTGCGCTGGTCCAATGATTTTATTCATAAGCCTCTTCATCCTGCCCACCAATGTCTTTGTAATTGTTTTAAACAAAACATTGCACAAGCTTATTGGTCTGAATTGCATTATTCTCTCTGGTCTAACTACCTTCGCAATGAGTACCAAGACAGCGTTGTTCGTGTTCTGCGGTAAAATCCCGGACCTAAAGAACTCGAGTACGAACTGAATGACCGAGCTCCCGACTGTATCCCAACAACGTTGATAGAACACCGGTTGAAATCCGTCGGGCCCTGGAGCCTTGTAACTTCCCATGCTTCTGATCGCTGCTTCTATCTCGACTGCAGTGAACGGCTTCTGCAATTCTTGTTTATCTCCCTCCGACAGCGTTACAAAACTCCCCCGCGGCAATGTATCTACTGAATGTTCCACATCATCCAGTGAATATAATCTCTTGTAGTAAGCAATGGCCAACTTCTCGAGTTCCTCTGCATCAGTTAACCACTGTCCATCTGCATTTTTCAACATCTCAATCCTGTTCTTGCTTCTACGAATAATTGTAGAAGTGTGAAAAAATTTTGTATTGCGGTCTCCATGAGTGAGGAGCTTTTCGCGAGATTTTTGATACCATATCAGCTCTTCCTGTTCCAGCACCACATCGAACTCTTTCAACAAGGTACTTTCCTTCCGTAACAAGTCATCCGTTGGCGCGTTTTCAATCAACTCTTGTACTTCCTGAATTGAACTGAGCAGCTTCTCTTTCCTTCTCTGAACATCTCCAAATACTTCCTTATTCCACCTCTTCAAAGTTCCCTGTAACTTCCGTAAAGCTACTCTTGTATCAACGCTGCTATCCCACGAAGCTGCCAATAGATCTTGGAACCCTTCATGAGTTAACCATGCTGCTTCAAACCGAAACGGACGACGGCTCTTGTTCCGCTGAGGCGTCGGCTCTAGGTCAATATATAACGGGGCATGATCAGATGCAAGGAAGGGTAGATGTGTAACTGTAGCCTCCTGCCATTTGAGTCGAGCATGGGGACAACAAAAGACACGGTCCAAACGTTTCGCAATGAAGAGACTCTCCGAGCGCCCTCTCTGCCAAGTAAACTGTTGGCCTCGAAATCCCATATCAATGAGCGAACTAGCGTTTATCCATCTGCCAAACTCCAGTGAGTCTTGTGAGAGGCGTCCGCTACCTCCCATTCGTTCATCTAGTCGAAGGATTGTATTAAAATCCCCACCAAGAATGACTGGTCCAGTCACGAGCTGGACAACTTCTTTAAGCTGCTCCCAAATACCACTACGCCTGGTTGCCGACGGAGCTGCATATACTGCCACCAGGTTTAAAATATCTCCTCCTTTCTTGATTGTAGCGTGAATAAACTGATCGGTATGCTTCACTATTTCAACATCACCCACATCAGATTTCCACAAAAGCCACAAGCCTCCACTCTGTCCCATCGAATCCACACGAAAGTTCTGATCAAAACCTAAGTTCTGACATATACGCCCAGCGCGATCTCCTCCCGCATGGGTCTCAAACACTGCAAGAACATCAGTACTATGTTTCTTTAATAAATAACGGATCGAACGTCGGAAATTGGGTTTATTTGCCCCCCGGCAGTTCCACATAAGAATCTTCATCATTGACGTAAACCAAACGGAATGGAAAGCCGGGGACACCTGTTATGCCTCCTGAGACCTACTCGTCTCCTCTGGAACTTCGTGCATCCCTGCATCTTTACTCGATTTAGTATCCACCGCACCTTCAATCGGAATCGATTCCGTGTGTCCATCCTTTCGAACGGAGCTATCTTGAGGGAAAGAACCACCAGCTCTCCCTAGATTCTCTTGCTCAACTCTTAATCTTTTTCCATTGCTCGATAGCTCGATCTCTCCTCCGACTGGACCAAACACCAGTCCTCTCGTGGGCCTCTGTTTTGAACTTGGCTTGGGCTTTGCGATTTTGTTTTCTGGGCCTCTGTATCCTCCAATCTGTTTTTTGGTTGCTGGTGGGTTATTCCTGGGCCGATTCTTGTTTGAATTTCCCGCCGTAAAGATCACACCTGGATCACGAGGCACGCTCCTTTCGGGATTTTTGTGAATCTGAATATTCTCATTTCCTCGAATTATCTCATTCTCCTTATTTTCATCCGTACCAACCACATCTTGCCTTATCTCTGGAGATTCGGAATCCAAATCTTCCATCAATCTTCCAAAACTGTTTGATACCAAAATATTTGGTGTTTCCTTATTTTGAGTGATCTCCCGGAGATTTCGGCCAGATCCCTCCCTAGGGTTTCCTGCCGCCGGCCTATGTCTGCCGTGTTGACGAGCCGGTGTAAATCCGTCGTCTTGTCGTGGCGATCCTGGGATGATTCTCAGATCTTGAGAAGCCCTTTCACTAACGACACGCTCATGACTACCCTTCGGACATGCATGCACCAAGTGCCCAAACATTCCACAACTTGAACATATTTGCGACAAACCTTCATAGGAGACGAAGTATCGGTCGCCATTGATCACGATCGACCCCTTCAAAGGTTTTCGCAGGTTTACTTCAACACAAATCCTAGCAAACCTTGCTCTTTCAAAGTTCAACGTCGTTAGATCCACTTTAACCGGTTTTCCTAAGCCCTTAGCAATTCCCATCAGGATGGATTTGTGATAGAAATTAATAGGTATATTGGATAATCGTATCCATACGGGAGTCGTCACGATATCATCACTTAGAGGATCAAAAGATGGTGTCCAAGCTTGTACCACAAGGTAGCTTCCAAACACTCTCCAAGGTCCTCCTGCAAGCGCCGCCAGGTATTCATCCTCCTCTCCAAACCGAATCATAAAATACTGCCTCGGGAGGTCCATTACATACATTGAACCCTTTGGCTTCCACATCTCACGAAGCTTACGGGTCAAAGCTGCAATAGACGTAACCCTTCCAAGAACTTTCACAATCATACAATTCTTCCACAACCCATTCATGGCTTCTAGGACTTCCTGTTCAATTGTAATCACCGGCTCCCCTTCTTCTCCGTTTGGAAGTTCTAATCTGACTCTCTCAGAAACAAACGCATCATCGATCACCTCCTCCGGATTTGGCATCCCTCCTACATTCGAACCTGTGACCTTCTTCACCCACGCGCCCACCTTATCTGGGGGATCACCTGGAGGGCGCCCTCGCTCCTCGAGATCATCCATCGCCGTATCTTGCTCGCCTCCACCCAAAACCCTAAAATCGCCCTTCTCTCGCTCCATTTTTTTCACTTAACACTTGATTTCGAATATTTTAATTTTTTAGGTCTGGATATCCGAATTTGATTCTATATTTCAAAAAAATATATGAACTTTTTTATTTTATTATTAATTATATCTGATATATTAATATTTATACATAAAACAAGTTTAATAATATTTATTTTATATGAATAATATTATATGTCATATATATTCATAAATTATATTTAGATATTTAGTTTATGTATTATTTTTAGAATTTTTGATTTTTCTAATTTTTTAATTATTTTTACGGATCCGAATCAGAATCCAGATATCCGCGGATATCACAATATCTAGATGGATATCTGAATCTCGCATATTCAGAAGTCACGAATCCAAACCCAGATACTAAAATCACGGATCCAACGAATCCGGATCCAGATACTTTCAATTTCTCCGGATTAGTTCCAGCCTTATGGTTTATTCTGCCGACGTGCTAGTTCTAGGAATCAAACAAAACCAGTTGACTCACGTCATTTACTTTGTCAACATATTTGTTTTTTTTTTGAACAAATATATGTATCAATAGTTGTATTAGTGTTTTACCACAATTATATATATTTTTTGGTCAAATACCACAATTATATATAATAAATAATATAGCTAGTGATTTTATATACACAATATAATAATTTTAAAAAATTATATTTACTTACAAATACAACTTTTGCGTAAAGTTTCTTTCTATTATATATTTTCTTGGTTAAAAATATCATCTTGAGAGCTCGGCTCATGAGCTTGACGCTTAAGGGATCAGTCCAAACGATTCAGAAGCTCAGCCCAGCACTCGGTCAATCTTATTAGTTCAAGTCTACTTTAGGACAAACAGGAGAGAGGGCTTGTGTATAAAAGAGAGACAAAGAAGGGTATTCAGACTTTTCACTACAGAGATTCGCGGCTAATAACTAGGGTTTCCTCTAATCTCGCCCGACTTGTACGTTTTTGGCACACTCTTGCTGATTGCTGTCTCTTATTCGCACACAACTGTGACCTCTCTCTCATTTTCATCAATAAAACGCATTTGAAATAACCCACAATCGAATTTGTTCCTCTTTTTAGGACCGACCAAACTCATATTCAAAACTTTGATGAAAGGAGTATGTTGACTCGTTTGGTTTTCTCAAGAATTTGTTTCCCATACTGATTTTTATATGTGAAACTTGAAACAAGAAGATGGACCAACCAAAATTACTTCCTCCGAGTTTGGTTGGCACAACCTGTTTTTGATTCCTTTCCAGTCGATGTTTTACGGTCAAGCTCGACATCTTCTTTGGAATTTAAAGATGACCATGTGCTTCCAATAGCACAAGAAGAGAGATTTGAAGGAAGTTGTTGGGTGCCTATTGATTGGGGTATAAGCCTAGTTCAAAATGGTGCAAGTAAGTGCGGATCAAAGCTGTTAATGGGATGATGATGAAGATGTCCCCATTAGAGATTTAGTAGCTCTGTGCAAGCCCGGCTCTGCCGACAATTAGTCATGCATTGAAGATTAAAAAGTAAGTTGATAAGTGAATCATGCATGAGACATATTCTATACAAGTAATTTCGGGAACCATAAACATTTGAAAATAATTCTTGAATAATTCATTTTTACAGTTCGAAGGTCATTAAACCTAGGTTTATTAACTCAAATTTTGAAGAGGAAAAAGGGAATGTTTCATTGGAACCGGTCTTGTATACGAGGTATTGATCTCGTTTTCAGTTCAAAAATGCAATATATAAGGTAACGTTGGGCTGAGGGTTATTGGAGGTTTTTGTTTGAGCTTTTAGGATAATCACTAATCAGTAGGTATTATTAATCAAGTAATGGGGGTAAATGTACCAAACATAACTTAACGAGTAGAATATGTAAATTATCTAAAATATAGGGAGGAATATGTAAAAATAAAAGGATGAAGCGGGTCTCAAAAAAAAAAAAAAAACTACATTTGGTTTTAAAGCATTTTCTGCCCTTTGGAGATTCTCTGCTGTGTTTGGTTTTTGAGGTGTTGTGAGCTGCGCAATATCGATTCAGAAACAAGACTGCTCCCATGGTGAGATTAATGGAGCTTCTTTGTGTTTGGGAACCCGAGTTTTGTTAGGGGTTTTGAGCGTTTTTTCGTTGAGATTATGGAAAGTCGCATTCAATTGATTTCGTTCCTTATTTTGGGGTTCTTGAATGGTTTTGGTTCTGTTCTTCATTGAAAGTGAGTTTCTTTCATGGAGATTCGATATTTGTGTCAGACCAAAGTACCAGTTTTTAGGGTTTAATAGCTTTAGTTACTTGAAATTTATGATTGTTTATATAGGATTTTGAATCAGTTATGCTATCTTGGTTGTTTTTTTTTTAAACTCTATGTGCCTTTTTTTTTCTGGAACCTGTCTTGTCTGATAGGTATGATTCCATTTTTGTACAAGACACTTAGCTTTTCTTCCTAAAACTCCATTGGGTTTCTGCTGCTTTTCGACTCTTCTTTGTGCTTGTACTTGTTGATTTGTTATTTAGTTGTTATAGCGCTGGTCATTTCTCCAATTAATTATGTCTAATACAATCATCGCTCTATCTTACTTGGCATACTCTGAGTTGTATGTGCTTCTATCTATTTAGACAAATGAAATGTTGTTTGGTTTCGAATGGAAACAATGGTTGTCCTCAGATCAGAAGTGACGCAGTTGATTGATTTTTTATTTTTATTTTTAGTTTTGTTTCAGTTGATAGATTAGTTCTCAGCAACCATAGTAACAATGTATATCATGTTAAGCCAAAGAATATCTTCCTCTTTGTTTTTTTCTTTCTATGTAGGCTGATCCTGAACTTGAAGCTATTAGGCAGAGGAGAATGCAAGAGCTCATGGCTCAACATGGCACTGTAAATCACTTTAATAACACCTTCACTTATATGTCTATGCTTTTTCAGTTGAGAAAAATTGCATCTTGTGGCTCATTGTGAACCAACTTGGTTAGCAGGGGAAGCAGGGAAATCAGCAGAATCCAGATCAAGAGAGAGCACAAGAAGATGCTAAAAGGTTTTGTATCCTTTCTTATTAGCTGGAAATACAAGGCCTGTGTTGAGCTAACCCATTTATCTGATTGGAACATATGTTTAGGGAAGCTGATGAACGTAGACAAATGATGCTTAGTCAAATCTTGTCTTCCCAAGCCCGAGAGAGAAGTAAGTCACACCATCTAAAAATGCTTTGGAATTCATCTAAGTTTCTCTTCCTTTGTTTCTTTATGACTTGTCATCGATGTGATGATTTGTGTATTTTTCTATAGTTGCTAGAATTGCACTGGTGAAACCTGAGAAAGCTAGAGGCGTAGAGGATGTTATTTTGAGAGCTGCTCAAATGGGACAGATTGTTGAGAAAGTAAGAAGCCACTCACCTTTCCATGTCATTTAGTTCTTAATTCTTTACACATCTCGCTCACACGAACACGAATGTTAAGAATCTGAGAGTTATTGCAATACTGTGTTTGTTTTTACAGGTTTCTGAGGAACGGCTTATAACCCTGTTGGAACAAATAAACAGCCAAACTAGCAAGCAGACCAAAGTCACGGTATGGTCACACAATCCTCCAAAACACACAAGTTATTAAAGCATAAACCATTGCTATTGGTTTAACGATATCACTGAGTATAATGTTTATCTCGGATGTGTTTACAGATCCAGAGGCGTCGTGGGGTGGACGACGATTAGGAAGAAGAAGAAGATTATGATGTGTTTTGTATATCTATGGAGATCTTACTGTTGAGTTGGTGCGTTCTAGTTAGATGTTACTGTGAAATATGTTTAATGTGAGTGAATCTTTAATGATCTTCCAAAAATGGTTGGGAACTTGGGATGATAAGAGTAATCTTAAACTGAAACTTTGCTTTTTCCATTTTCCTCTGAACCATCTCTATCTTCATCTTCCTCTCCTCGCGTTGCGTATTGTGATTTGAATATGATTAGAATGTATAATGATTCTGTTCTAACATCTACTTCTCATATTTTCATGATTTGGTCAAGTCATACTTCTCAAACCATTATCTAGTTATGATTGATAAAAAATAAATATATAAGTTTTGAAGCAACTCCACCATCTTCATGTGACAAGAATCACAAAGTCAAACGAAATACTAAAGCAAGCATTTGACAAATAAGTGACGACATTCTTCAACTTTAAATCGTTACTTTAGGATCAAATTCAAAAGTATGATTTCTGGTTATTATTAAAGCAAGCATTTGACAAATAAGTGACGCCATAGTTTAACTTTCTAACAAACAAACATATCCAGACGTTTCCTAAAAATTGATTTATAACCTTTCCTGAACTAATGTAAGTAAAATACAATGGTCTTAGTTAGCTTTGACACTCAAAGTTGTTAGTTGTTATAATTAAAGAGAAAGGGGGACATTGTAACCAACATAGATGGATAAGTATAATAAAACTGTTAGTGTTGTTGGTCTTCAGACCGAATGAAGAAACTGAAATAATGACTAGTCAAATGTATCTATCTACCTTACTAATTACCAAGAAAATATAATGCTCTTAGTTCAATGCGACACTTAAATTGTTAGTTGCTACTTCAAAGAATCACACTCAAAAATAGAAAATAAAATGAATAGTAAACAGTGTTTCAAAAAAAAAAAAATAGTAAACTAGATAGTTCATAAATTTTATGACAATGTCATTCAACTTGAAGTATATAACTGAAAACCATTTCAGATAGTGTGGTTTGTATACTTTGCAGATTCATAGTTACATTAGACAACGAGACTCATCTTTTGACTATAGATCAGACCTTACCAATCACTCGCGAATTGAGTATGCTGTTAAATTATGTCAGCTCAACAACAGTTTAAGCAAAGTCTGTTACGGTCCGTACAATAATCCCTTATTAAAATGATAAAACGCAAATACTTTTCTTCATGTATAGTGGCAGAAAAATGTCATTAGTGGAGTAGATATTGAACTTTGAAATCTCGATTTCAACTTGGGCTAAAACGTTGACTTTAACTTTTAAAGTTTCCGGTCAGTGATATTTAACTAAATATTCTGAAAATTAATATCTCCAATATTGTCATTTATCAATTAACGCACCAAACACAATACCTGCCCATATAGACAAGATAATAAATTAAAAAAGTAGAATTTATAACTTTAGTGTCACACTCAACTAAGAATTAGAATTGACAGGAGTAGTTTGGTCAGACTTTCATGTTTTGTTATTTAATCTATAGACTATACTACAGACTTAACAAGTTAGACGTACTTGTGAAAATAAAGTATTATTCACTGTATTTCTTTATTCTTTTATTTTTTGGTAAATTGTAACGAGTACCATGACGTACAAAGTGACTGGAATAAGAATGTATATGTGGTCCTTTTTAGATCGATAAAATAATATCATCAGAGCACTCCAAAAGTATATAAATACACATGTCTGTCACTGCAGAGTTAGTATGAGCTTTTATAGAATTTAATTACAAACCAAAATCCAAAAATACTCAATAAATAATATGTTAAATTAAAACGAGAAATGATAATTTATAAGAAAGCGAATTATGATTTCTATTAATCAGTTGGTCCTAAGTTCTAAAACATGACCGCTGTATCCGAAAACGCGGCAGTTAAATACTAATCGGAGATGAAACATGGTGATTCATCCTAACTGGCATAAAAATTTGGAAATCTAAGAAAAACTCGAATCCAAGACATTTCCAAGCCACTAGACCATGTTACATATTCAAAATTTTGCACATCTAATAATATATATATACCCTAAAACAACACAAAAATAAATCCTCAATTAGTTCCTTAGTATATTTTTTTTCTTAACCCAATAAGCTCGATCCGAGCAGATAGTGAGTTTCCGAACAGGGGTTAGTCCCCATTATTTTGGTAGTGACGACAATGGACTTCAAAAGACTATTTAAAGATTAATTTATATATTCGGTTAAACATCTGAACTAGCAAATAACAGACTAGTAGATAAATGTTAAAGAAAAGGTAAAAAATGTGCAGCATTTGGCTCATACAAGTTTGTTTCTCCACGCTAACCTATCATCTAATCTTTATTATTATTATTCTCTCTTATGTTATGTCTAAAAAATTGTACAAAAATTATTTTGTTCACACCCAAACTTGTTTAGAACGGCATTCTATACTTTACAATTTTAAACTTCAAAATCAAACGTCTTGACGTTACGTGATGGTAAACGTTTCCGTTTAATCATAATCTACTTTTTAAAAAATAATTAGGAGGTTCTAATCATAATCATAAAATTCGGGCTGAAGCCCTAATCCCCCACAGCATGTAATATTAGTTTAGTTTCAACAAATTATCAACCGGTTTAATCATAATCACGTACTTTCAACAAATTTAATCATCAATCCTACTCAAAAGTTTTTTTGAGAACTAGTTGTACAAAAAAGTTCGAATGATACTTAGCAATATTGTAGCCTTTCTGCTCAAATATTTTATACATTTAATATTCAAATGTATAGGCAAATAGTGTGTATCAGTAATGTATATGCATATATCGCTAGTTTGGTTTAGTTTTCAATCTCTTTTTGTTTTGAAACCTAAGTTCAGTCTCATTTTATTTAGCTAGTTTATAGTTATGTTTAAATCTTTTGTTCCCAACTTTAGAATCCACTATATTTGTAAGTGTTTTTATAAATTTTCTGTTACAAGATTTTTTAAATAAATTACATAGGACTTGGGTCATCAAAGCTAAAAAAAAAGAAACAAGGAAAGGAAGAGCACGTGACATGTACGACTTCGCTGACCCAACAAAGGTGCTATTTTCCTCCACGTCTCTTCTCCACACCTTTCTTTTATGTTTTTAACATTAAGCATGCGTTGTTCAAAAAAAAAAAAATATGAAGCTAAAGAGATTGAAGTTAATACTTGAAGGATGCTGACTGAACAAGTGGTTTTAGTTGACTTTGAATATTCAACACCAATAATGCAGCTCCAAAGCAAGGAGAATGTCTATATAAAACCCCTATTTAAACTTGTATGGAGGTTATTTATTTTAGTTTTAAACCCCTATTTAAACTTGTATGGAGGTTATTTATTTTAGTTTTTAACCCCTATTTAAACTTTTATGGAGGTTATTTATTTTGGTAAAACCAAAGTTTATACAAAAAGGTTCTAGCGAAAGGCAAAACGAAGACTTTAGTCAATTATTCACATGACTTGAGTATATGAATATAAAATGTATATTGATTCGTCTAGAATGCTTTCTTTTGACCAATGCAAAGATGTTGGAAGTATATGCATAAAGTCATTGCATTATACATACAGTTTGACCTCTATGTTATCTTTTTTTTTCTTTTGTAATTTCCTTTAGCCTACTTTTATGTAAAAAAACTTTTAGAGTACCTAATCGTACTGCATTCACATAGACAGATTACTGATAGTTTTTAATATATCGTTCCTAAAGGACACTAACTGGTTGAATTTGCTAGACAGATGCATAAATTATATTGTCGTGGACTCGTTACCCATTTATTCAATACATAAGAATAAATAAGATCATATGGTGATGATCATATCTACTATGACATATCTAATTTTCAACAAACAAAATATTATGACATATCTAATTAAGAAGATATACATATATATATATAATCTAGAAAACTATCCATCGTCTCAACTAAAATATATGTTTACATATCAAAAATATTATCCATTTCACAAAACAAAATATTTCTAATAATTCATAAAGTTAAAAGTTGAAAATTAAAGTGGTATACATAGTATGGTAGATGGAATTGAGAGAGAAAGATGGCTAAATGTTTCCTTCATAGAAACCACCTTCTGTGCAATATCTCTCTAGCTAATTAATTTCAAGTTGAAATTGTCAAAGCTACCTTTCTTTTCACATGTATAAAGGTTTTTTACAATACCATTAAAGTCTTCAAAGGTTATGACCCTTTAAAACGTTCCATTTTCTCCCTCTTAGGTTCTTTCAAAATTGTTTGATTTCACATTTTGGAGAAACTACAATTCCAAATTACATCAGTATTGATATTTCTGTTGGCGACCTTTTTTTTTTGTAAGATCAATTGTTGCGGTCATACCTAGTTGGTTAAATCAATTTTTTTGTAATTGTAGAATTTCTCATGCCGTGTCTAAAATTTGGATGTTTACTCGTTATACTATTTATAAAGAATATCTGGTGGCTTTACCACTTTCGCAAGTAGTACTAAAACTAGATATATTAGTCTATTTTCACTAAACACTAGTAGATTTTTACATTTTGTTGCTATACAAATCATTTAACAGACATTTAGAATGTTTACGATAATCGGTGGGAGAAATCATTATAGGCAGGCTATAAAATTGTTAAACCTAGTAGTACTTTTCAGAAATATCTTCAACATCAAGAAAACTGAGAAACGTGAATTTTATTGGGATAATTTCTATAAAACTTCTGCTAAAACGTTGAAACACATGGATTTCAAATGGCAGTTTCAAATTGAAAATTTAAAGGCTGCTGTCTTTTAGAATTTGATCATGTGGGAGAATCCATCCATTTTCATGTGGTATTAGACGACTATAACCCCTAATGAATATGAGTGAACGAACATTACCTTGTTTTTTTTTTTTTTGTCAATGGAACATTACATTGTTATCTTGTATATAAAACGTAAAAACGTTTGCTTGGAACTTGAAAGTCAAACACTATAGTCGATTGGTTTTGATACGGATACTCAATAATTTACAGGCCAACCCGTTATAATGAATACATTTATTTTCTTTGATAAAAAAAAAAGAATACATTTATTTTCTTCAAAAAAGAAATCACTCCAAAAAAATTTAAATATAATCTTAATTGAAAATTCAAAGCCAAAGACCATCAAAGCAAATAAAGTAAAGCTGAATAGACTTTGTATTTATTAGACTTGATCACCCAAAGTCACACAGAACCTAAAAACATAAGTTTAAACAACCATTTCTCTTCCTCTTCTCCTTCTTCTTCAATGGAAGATCAGGTTGAGCACAAGAACCCTTCTTTAGATGAAGTTATCTTCGCGAGTGTAACCGACTGCTTACAAAGCTCATTAGTTATGGATTATAACTCACTAGAGAAAGCCTTCAAATTTTCACCTTACAATTCCTCTCTCCAACCGATTTCATTGACCAATATGGGCCAAGTAGTGAATCACCCTTACTTAAATCTAAATCCAAATTCTCCAATAATCTCTTCTTCCTCCAATGAAGCTGATCCTAAAGAGAACGTCGGCGATAAGAATGGCCCAATGGAAGATCACAACGAAGGAGACCAACATGGTGATGGTGAAAGCTCCAAGCCATTGTGAGTTTTTCTTCTTTCATAATCCCGTATCAAAATGTTGTTTAAGGGTGGATTATGAGTCCAACTAAAAAATTTCAGATATTTTCTATCAAATGTGCTTTTCTTTATGTTCGGGTAACTAGATCTCCAGAACCAAAACTCAGCCTATATTGTCTTCTGACAGGACAATCTTTAAGCATGTACAAAAAGTGCATTTGTACATAGTCCAAGAAAATTTTGGTTGTAGATTTTTCTCAAAAATTTAGGACCCTTTCCACAAATTTTTTTTATTTTTTGGAGTAAGACTGAACTTGCATAGGGTCCATAAAAAACATTGAGACGGGATCACGTAAAATTTTCAGGAAATCTATATTTACTTGATTACAATAAATAAAATGATTAGTTGTTTATACTTTGTAACCCTAGAAACTAACATGCTTTGTGGATGATGAGTATGGTTAGGTCGACAAAACAAGGTAAAGGAAAAAGAGAAAAGAAAGAAAGAGAAGCTAGGGTTGCGTTTATGACCAAAAGTGAGGTCGAGCATCTTGAAGATGGTTATAGATGGAGAAAATATGGACAAAAGGCTGTCAAGAATAGCCCTTATCCAAGGTTCATTTCCTCAGTATATACTCCAACTTTAATTATTATAGAAGTATATATATACGAATATAAGAGTTATGTATGCGTTTTCAGGAGTTATTATAGGTGCACAACACAGAAGTGTAACGTGAAGAAACGCGTAGAAAGGTCGTTTCAAGATCCGTCGATCGTAATCACAACCTACGAAGGAAAACACAACCATCTAATCCCATCGACGTTGAGAGGTCCCCTGGTCGGGGAGCATCTATCAGGACACCGTGGAAGTGGTCTCCTCCATAGCTTCCCACGTTACCATCAAGAGTTTCTCATGATGAATCAACATCATGTCAATTATCAAGCAGTGGAATCTACATCGCATCGACAAAGCCATGGTAACTCTAGTAATTATAGTAATCATCAGCAAGTTGTTGACTATGGTCTTCTTCAGGACATTGTTCCTTCAAAGTTACTGAAGCATGAATCTTGAGAGACAGTAATGGAGATCCAAATCTTTCTCTTTGGTCATATGTGTATTGTAGAGTATTTATGAATACATTGTATAAGCATAAATAACTTGTAGTATACAAACATGTATGTGTATATACAGTATTTGACAGACAGCCTACTTCTAATTAACTGAATTTTTGATTTTTAAAAGAGGTTTTGTGAACATTCCTATGTTTAACTATCTAATCTATAAACCTGGATAATTTGTCATTTTGGTGTATTATGTGATATATTATTACATAATGCTGTTTGAAAATCAAACGAAGTAAAAAAAAAAAGAGAAAAGCTAGTCGAGTAACAGACATTATGAAAACCAAGAAAATGTGCAGGTCCAACAAAAAGATTTTCACAACAATAAAACTCTTTACGAAACATTGGTTTTAATTATACTTTAAATTTTTTTCCATGATAACTGGAGAAGCGCTTAGCTACTCCTGATCATCTCCAGCAGCAGAAGAGTGGTGAGGGAAGCTTGCCCACACGTCTTGCCATGTCTTCTTCCCTTCTGCCACTGAGCTCACGACAGAGGCTGCCTCCTTCAAGCTAACTCTGACTTGGTCTTTGCTGTCTCTTTCTCTGATTGTCACCGATGTTTCCGAGTCCACTGTTATTGCAAACGGCACTCCGAGTTCATCTGTTCTCGCATACCTTTTCCCTATCGATGTACCTAGTGTTCGTTCATTCACACACACACAAATCTTACACACGGTTTTGCTCCATTTCAAGATTCTAAATAACTTCACGTACCAGTGATGTCAATCTTATGTGAGATGCCAACAGAAGTGAGTTCCTTGGAAATGTCTTTGGTTGCTTCCTCGAATTGTTGGTTCTGAACCAGCGGGAACACCGTGCACTTGATGGGAGCCACAAGAGGAGGGAAGCGGAACACGTTCAGCTGCTCGTCCCCTGCTTTGCTTGGCCTTGTGCTGAAACAATGCTCGTACAGACAATAAATGATCCTACCAATCCCGAAAGATGGTTCAATCACTGACGGTGTGAAAACTCGCTGGTGCTCTTTCTTCTTTTCCTTTGAGATTGACACCATGTTCTTCTTGATGCTCACGTTCTTCCCGAGTGTGCACACGTAGAACTCCACTTCCCCCTTGGATTCCAGAGTTGCCTTCATCTCCATAGCTTCTTTCTCATTCATCGCCTAACAAAACATTACGCAGAGCATTTTCTTTATATTATATAAGCTCATATCATGAGATAAAGAAGCTTTTTAGTAAAACAATACCTCCAAAGACTCAACCACATTCTTCTGAGTTCCCTTGAATGCAAGACCCAGTTCTTTCTTCACAGGATTAATCACAAGTTTCTAAACAAAAGAGAAACCATTAACAACAAAGTTACAGAGACAGTGATGAAAATGCTAACTCAACAAAATAGATACCTCTACTTCTTTAGGCTCTGCATATTTCTCTTCAGCCACAAGAGCAACACCGCTTTTTTCCTGCCATACAACAATGTATCCACAATCTACATTAGCAAGTTTAAATAGCTGCCAAACGAAAATTAAAAGGTAAGTTTCATACAGAGTGAGCACGCAGGTCGAAAGCAGATCTATCTGCAATGCCAACACATTCAATCCATCCATATGAGCTCTCGATTTCAGCATCCCAACAGTCTGCTGCATAGTGGGCCATTTCATTTGCAAGATGCTGACGGAAACGCAGCCGTTCCTTGTCTATGCCAAGGCGGGTGAGGAAAAGATACACTCTCCCAATGAAGTACCCTAGAGTTTCATTGTTAACAGTTCCCTACATTTTCCATTTGCAAAAATCAATATCATATAATAATCAGAAGGGGTCTGTGTGAATGCATACAAGGATTACAAATACAGACCTTGGTAACAGCTTCGCCAAGGCAAAATTTTTTAGCAGATTGGCCAGACATTTGCTCTTCTCTTGGAAACATGAGGAATTCCAATTTAGATACATCAGCGAATTTAGGGTGGGACTTGTTCTCAGGATCAACAAAGTGCTCAATCTCTGCCAGAGTGAATTCACGAACTCTAAGAAGCCCTTGACGAGGAGAAATCTGCGAGCAAGATACTACTTATTATAACCCATACATAATCGAAAACAGAGAACAATGTAGTTGAAACTCTTAAGAATAGTCACCTCATTTCTAAAGGCTTGACCAATCTGAGCAGCAGCAAACGGAAGTTTCCTCCCATTGTAGTAATACAAGTCCTTAAAATTAACAAATATGCCTTGTGCCGTCTCAGGACGCATGTAACTGATACACACAAAACAAAACTTGATTAAGAAATCAGGGAAACCAAAAAAGTTCAATAACAATTATAAAAACGAAGAGTACTCACCCAGGAATCAAACCAGACGGGCCAATGGATGTTTGAAACATCAAGTTAAACGGATAAGGATCAGAAAGAGGGTTCTTGGTATCTGGAGCAGTGATCCCATACTCTTTAATCTTAGCACCAAGCTCCTCAGGGGAATAATCTTCCATAACAGCAAGAACATCCTTAAACTCAGCAGCTTTCTCCGCAGAGATGGTGAGATCCTTCTCCAGCTTCTCCGTGCAGTAGTCTTTCAGCAAATGATCAGCACGGAAACACGTCCCAGTCTTCTCATCCTTGACCATAAGATCAGTGAACTTGTCAACATGCCCAGACGCCTTGAGTACAACCTCTGGTGTCACACATGGACAATCAACTTCAAGCATGTTCTCCTCAAGAATAAAATGCTGTAAACAAAATCAAAATCAACATCATATAAAAGCAAAATCAATCTCAATATTATTCATATTAATACTCTTAATAATCTACAAACTCGAAAATTACAATTATAAATTTGAATATATTAGTAATTTACTGGATATTTCGAATATTTATTATACTGGATGTTTGTTTTTTTTAAACTGTCAAATGATGGATTACATTATCAAAATCATATTCTATTTATTACATATATGATGATTAAATACCAGTAGACGAATATGTTTGTTACGTCAGTTAATCATACGGTTGGATTAAATAAAACTGATCCGAGTCAGATTTTTTAACCAATTAAACGCAAACCGATCCTAAATTATAAAATACCGATTCGGTTCTGAATCAAACTAAAATTTGTTATTAACCAAATAACCAAACCGATCCTAACTTAAAAATAACCGATAGATAACCAAAACCTCTAACCGAACCGGACCCGATACCAATCCCTAACCCTAACCAAAACTCAATTTCAAATCAGATCCTCACCTGACGCCAGAAGCTAAGAACATTAGACTTAACAGCACACCCAGGAGGACCGTAATCAAACAGCCCCGCGACGCCACGATAGATCTTAAACGACGGAATGTAAAACAACCGCCTCTCCAGAGTATTCACGACGGCTTGGCGAAACGCCTCGCGGTTAAGCGAGCCGTTCCCGGATCCGGCGATGGTCGACTGGAGCTCCTTCTCGACGGCGGATTTCTCGAGCTTGAGTTTGTTGAGGAGCTCGATGGCGGCGTCGATCTCGGGCTTCGCGGCGCGGGAGGCCTTGAGGGCGCGTACGGCGTTGCCCTGGGACTCGACGGAGGAGGATTTTTCGGAGAGGGATTGGCGGAGGGATTGTTCGGTGGCGTCCATTGAGGTGGAGATGGTTGGATTGGATTGGAATTGACGAAGGGAGAGGATTTGTCTGCGTGTTGTTGAGGTGAAGGGAGAGAGAAAGCGCATGAGAATAATAAGTGAGAGTCGCTCAACAGTGGCCTAGGGTTTAAGATAATGGGTAACCTTCGGGTTGAGTCGGTGGGTTTGGGCTCTAGCGATTTTTTTTTGTTTGAAAAAAATATTTGATGTTGTTCAAAAAAATATATATATATTTCATCATCATTAAAACGAAGAAGTTGATGTGCTGAAGTATCCCACGAAATCTCTCCACTGAAAGATGTAATCCAAAAGCCCATTAATAATTAAAAGAAGTTGGACAAAAAAAAAAAGTTAAAAGCACTACCCTTCCTTTCACATTGTTACTAGATTTTGATCCGTGCTTAAAAGCGCGGAAATTTTTTATGATTAAAAATTTATATCATTGGGTTTTGTCTTAATTTAAAGAATATTTTGATATAAAATCAGTTCACCAAAATTTGTGGTGATGATTGTTTTTCATTAGTTTTTAGTTTCAGTTTTTATTTTTAGATTTTGGTTTTTGATTTTTAGTTTTTAAGTTTCTACTATAGTTTTGGTTTGGGTTTTTAATTTTTAAACCTGCTGAGTTAGTTTGAACTAATATTACCAACAAACAAATCTCAAATAATCGAACATCTAATTTAAAACTGAAAAGATGATAACAAATTTTTTTAAAAAAATTTGAAATAGTTTATTTTGTAAATAAACAAAGCAAAAAAACATAACATGTGTTTTCAGCTTTTGGTTTTGGATTTTAGTTTTTAGATTTGGTTTTTGGTTTTGCTTTACATTTTTTAATCAGTAAATTATTTAAGAAAAATAAAACAATAAATTATTTAAAAGTTATCATTGAAATTTATCAAAACAAAGTGATTTTTATTTAAAATAAAAAAATATATTAACATGTTTTAAAGTACATGATTTACATAAATTATTAATAATAGATAATTTTTTTTGTTAAAAATATTAAATACCTTTTGGGTCTAAAAATAATAATTGATTTTTAATCTTTTAAGGTGAAAAGTTTATTCAATGTTTTTGGAGTTTTTTTCTTAATACTAAGCCTAAAAACAAAACTATATAATTTGTTCAAAAAATAAAAGTAAGCCCAAGACTATATTTCATAAATAACCACTGGTTTAATTTAAGTATAATTAATAGAATTCCATATTCCATATTTTGATGATATATATTCTTTTAGAACATTCCATATTTGTAGGAGAAAATATGTGTTTTCAGTATACACATAGATACCTGCCGTATTTTGAAGGTAGTTTACATTAAGGTCGTCTCTTTACATTAATTGTGTTGGTTTAATTTAAGTAATACGGTTCAATCAATTATAAGACTTATATTATTTGTAACATTCTAGAAAGTGTCCAAATTTAAATGACAACTTGTATCAGTAGATAAATAGAAGGACTCTATTTTAATAGAGTAGATTTGACAAAATCTAATATATTATAATAAAGACATTTTTTTATCTATTGATACAAGTTATCATTTAAATTTGGACACTTTTTGGAGCGTTACTAATAATATAAGTCTTATAATTGATTGAACCACATCTTATATATTAAAACAGAAGTCATGACTTGACTTCATGTGTGATTTTTTAAAAAATGAACTATTACTAGAAAGTTATGTTACATTATTATATCTTATGAAAAATTATATTTATAATAACAAAAATACACTTAATAATTTGGTTTAGGTAAATTACCCCACACTTTCCAACATAGTCACGCAAAATATGTCAATAGATATAAGTTTAGGAATCTTCTATTATTTATAAGGAAATATGTCAATAATAGTTAAATATATCCACAATATATTAACAAAAATCATAGATTAGTAATATGTAATATTTATATACCCTAAAAAAATTTACACGCTATATATATTAGATAAATTTATTTCGATGTAAATTTTTAAAATTATATTGTTTAAAAAAAATTATTTAAAAAATTAAAATTTTTAATAAATTTTTTATAATATTAATTTATGAAACTATAAGTTTAGTTTTTAGCAAAAAATTCTTAGAAGTTTATATTATCTTTGTAAATTAAAGTATACTAATATTTAATCAAGCTCTATTTATATTACTTTATCTAAAAATGAAATACTAATCTAACAAACAATAAAATATAGAAGAAGAAACAAACATGTTTGAAAAACATGTATAATATAGAAAATTGAAACAATCTATTTGATTAAAACACTTATTATATAATATTATTATGTTTGAAAAAAATTACTATACATATCGTAAATATGTGATTACTATAATATATATCAATTTACAAGTGAAAACAAAATGTTTATATAACTATAAACGAAAACAAACACCCGCGCGGTTGCGCGGGTCAAAATCTAGTTACTTAAATTAAGCCAACATAATTAATGTAACATGGCGACCTTAATATAAAGTATCTTCAAAATACACAGATATCTATGTGTCTACCAAAAATACATATTTTCTCCTATAAATATAGAATGTTCTAAAAGAATATATATTATCAAAATATGAAATATGGAAATCTAGTAATTATATTTATGTGGAAATCGTAATATACCATTTAGCATCTTAACAATTCCTTAAAAAAATGGAAATTTAATAATTATATGAAACCAATAGAAATCTACTCTATTAAAATAGAGTCTTTCTTTTTATCTATTAATACAAATCCCCTATATATTAATTGAGAAACATTTGAAAAGATGTAACCTCAAGTTTGTATTAATTAAAAAGTAACCTTGCTTAGTTGTCAATCAATTAGCATATCAATTAAACTGACGTGGCGGCTTTAGGTTCAATTGAAATTTGCTAGGGAAAAATAATTAGAGACGCATATAACGCATGTAACATAGTTTATATATTTA